CACATTTACAATTTATTTATATTTAATTTTATTTAAAGCTGCATTTACTATGCTTGATTATCTATGAAGATGATAACTGTAGAAAAAAAAATTTTAATTTTTAATTATAATTTTGTGGCAGTTTACATGATATAGCAATATACTTATTTATGAGATTTGTATCACAAATAATTTATTCAATTATCTATGTTGATGATCAATTTATAGTCAATTATCAATACATAGTATCAACATTCTTACATAATTATATTCAAATATGCACCCATATAATATGATCTATATATAATAAAATAGATATAATAAAATTAGTTCTAAATATTTAAAACTAAAAATAAAGTTTTTAATATTAAATTTTTTTCTCATTATATGTTTACATAAAATTATGTGAATACATATAATTGAAATTAAGGAGTTACTATTATTAAAAAAAATCATTTAAATTCTACCGCGAGATATCGCCATATTGGATTTAATTCTTCCCGGCTCTACCAGAGTGTACTGTTTTAATGGCTACGTTCAGCAGAGAAAGCAGATCAGTAAGAGTTCAGTGATTCTTTATTATGATTGGTTTTTACTCTTACTTCAATGAAGTTCTAAAGGCAAGGACCAATCATATTGAAAAATCACTGAGCGCTCACTGATCTGCTTTCTCTGCTGAACGCAGCCAATGGTCTCTCAAATAATATCGAAAGCTGGTCTGCCTTGCACCTGTGTATTTTGATTTCTTATTGGATCATAATCAATTAAAAAAAGAAGAAGCTAAATAATAAAAATATTTTATTCAATTTTATTGATGCAGTAACATAACTGACTTATGGAAAATTGTATAGTAAATGGAAACATCAATAATGATTTACTTTCACAATCCTATTCCCAAAGTATCGAAAGGTAAATTAATATATACATATATAATATATATTTTTTTATAAATTTGTTTTCAATAGACATTATTGACTCGTAAATAGGATTACGGGGACCAAAGACGACATCTTTGATTTTCAAATACCAAAAGAACTTTTGGAAGTTAGGAAAAAAACTTGGAGCAATCTGTTTAATAAATATTCCAAGGAGGTATCTTGCTATGCTTTTATTAAATCACATTGGAGAATCTTTGTCGTCCTACAATATCTTATTTAAAATATTCATGTTTTATAGATAGCTGATGATATAGAATTAAATGTTGATACTTTGGAACCTCAAGAAGAAGAGGAAGAAAAACAGGGAACAGGAGAAGAAAAAGAAATTAGCGAGGAAGAATATAGCTGTGGACGACGAATACACCGGACACCTATGCGTATACCTGCAACTTTAGTACAGTATTGGATAAATACTGGTAATCCACCATATAAGATGCTTCTAAATGAGAGTAAAGTATCTGAATCAGGTTCATCTCTAAGTGAAAAAGAAACTACATTGTTAGCATCTTTAGTTCCAAATGCAACAAATATGAGAAATGTAACCGATGAGCAAAAACACAGAAATGATTCATCTTGCAGTTCTGTAGATACTGCAGCTTATATTCGATCAAATACGTATATTACGAAGAAAGCTGATACTATGGCTATTATAGAAGGTGCAAAATGTATTCAGTCTAAATCTTTAAAAAAGACTATTTCAGTCATCAAAGATGCAGACGTTACATCCAATAATAAGATTAAACATATAGGAACCGCAAGAATTGATCGTAAGATACAAAACAATGACAATAATGTTAATGCTAGTATTTTAAATATTGAGTTACATAGTCCAATGGAATGCATGACAGAAATATATGATCAAGCGGATACTAGCGCACTAATGTCTGCTGATACAGTACTATTTGATATGCGTTCGCAGAATTTATCTCATGAGGAGACAAATAAAATAGATGAGTTAAATGTCAATCAAAGGAGCTTAAATATACATACTATAGACAATATTGCATCCACTTTTCAAGAATTTGATAAAGCATCAAAACGATTGATTGGGAATAATAAAAATAATGACGATGCAAATCAAGATCAGAGGTTGGAAAAGAATACTTTACATAAGAAACAGATGAAATATCAAAGTAATATCACTCGAAAAATTATTGCGAAGGATACGAGCCTGGCAGCTTTCCGTTGTAAAAAATTATATACAGGCAGGGATTCACCTGTGGATTTAATACTAACCGAAATACACGATACAAACAGATTATCTAGAGCAAAACAAAGTTTACATCCTGCTTTAGATTCCGATAGTATGATTAACAAAGAAACATTTGTATTACATAAAAATAAAGATAAACTTTCTAATAGAAACAATATTGGATCTAAGAATGTCAAAAGGAAAAGGGAAAAAGAACGTGCTTCCATTTTTAATAAAATTAGTACAGATAAACATACAAATAATGGCAAGATTCAAGATTTCAATATTGACAACTCTTACAAGAGCTTATCAGACTCTCAGCATGATTCACATCATAGACAGTACGACATTTCATTTCAGAATGATAGTAATATATTTGTACAAAATGTAAAATGTAAACCAAATTTTACATCCATTAATCTACAACCAGTTGTACTTTTAGAGCGGATTAAGCCTTTCTATAAAGAGTATGAATTTAAATCTGACGAAAATATCCATATTACGGATAAAACAAGTATATATGATGACAAACGTCTAAACAAATGTAGAAAACTATATTATAAATTCGAAAATCTGAAATTAGAAACGATAGATGACGAGAGTACCACATTGATTTGTCAACGTAACGTGGCTGAATTGCGACATGTCTCTTCGTGTTTAAGTGATTGTTCTTTTGATCTAAAATTGAATGTTGAAGACGATTCTGTTTTGAATGCGAGAAAGAAAGATGGCAAAATATCAAAGATAAGTTTAAAAGATTCCGAAATGAGTCAAAATAGAAAGTCATGTATAGAAGAATTTCCACGTACACAATTATTAAATAAACATATTAACTCAACGATAGAATCACAAATTTTGAATAAAAATAAGATTATCGAGCAAAATGTGCTATTAAATAAATCTAAAACATATTCTCCTTTGTACGGGAGAAATAATACAGATAACGTGAAATTGCGAGAGATTAAAATAATGTTGGAACGATTGCCGTTATTAGTAAAACAATGTGCGAATTCAGAGGCGAAAATACAAGATTTAAATAAAAATGACATTATTTGGCAAAAAGAGATATCAAATAAAACGTATTCTAATTCATATGTAACCAATAAGAAAGATAATGTAAAACTTCGAGAAATTAGGATTGTATTGGAACGATTACCTGCCAATGTATATCTTAAAGAAGACAGCAACGTTACAAATATCAATATTTTCCACAATAAAAAGAAGATATCGCAAAATATAAATCTGTCAACTAATTGTAAACGGGAACTTCGAATAAAAAAGTTTTCTAAAATTGATGCGACTTGTGAAATTGGAACACCTGTTAGAACAACTGATCATGAAGTTGATAATTATTCGTCGAAGATGAATACTAAATCTAAAGAAAATAATGTTAAAATATGCAGTACACTTGATACTATTCTAAATAGAAATGAAAGTTTTGATAAAGTAGAGTCAGATTTTGCATTTCGACATAAAACATTTCAACACAAAGATAATGGTAAAATAAGTCAAGATGATCATAGTAAATGTAGAATTTTAACTTTTACATCATCAGACGAAGATGATTTTGTCGAATCATTACATCCTAAAAAAAGATTAAAAGTAAAGTCAACAAATGATAAAATGTTAGAAACAAATATTGCTGGAAAAAGTTACAGTTTATATAATCAAACCAATTCGGTTACTAGTAATAAAAACAAACATCGTTGTAGTGAAAACTTAAATAGAGTAATCCATTCATCGGAAAAGACTGTACGGAAAAATATTGGATTAATAAATGAAGAAAAAAAACACGGTGAAATTTTCGAGATAAAATCTTTTGATAGTATGCAGCCGACAACTGCCTCCATACAGATGTGTAAAAATGAAAGATTTATATTCTCAAGTGCGAATGGTAATAGTATTTCTGATAATTCAAGTGAATGTAGGAGAAAAACTTCGTTCTTTGATCATGATACAAGCAATAATGGTACAATAAGATGTTCAAATAGAATGATAAAGAAAAATGGAAAAGAGCAGATTAAAGATAAAATCCATGTTACATTCTTCCAAACAAAAACATTTTACACGAACTCTTCAGATTCTGAAGAAAGTAATAGTTATACTTCGTCTAGTTGTAAAATGTTAAAAAATTTTACCACAAGTAATAAATTGCAGTATCGCAATTGTGCTAATTCAAAAGAAATCTTGGATAATTCTATTGTAAAAAAGTATAGTAAAGGATATTTAGGTTCATTGAATTCTTCTCTTGAAAAGTATGACCGGATGCATAATGAAAGACTTAATTCGAAATCAATCGAGAAAAAAGTTAAGGTAAATAAACGAATAGCTAATAATAAGGAGTCTGATAATGATATTAATTTGAAAATCGATAATACAAGAAAAGACACATCTTCCTCTTTTCTTACAAACGATGTGCAAGATGCATCTGTGCAAGAAAAGATATTTCTTAATACTAATCTTGAGAGAACTAATTTTGATCGTATATCGAAAAATACGGAAATTTCTCACGAATTAAAAAATTTAGGTGCCATTCAGCAGGACGATGTCACATCTACGGTAAAATTGTTAATGTTTCAAACGAAAAGTTATTACGATTCTTCCGACTCGAGCGAAATTTTGTAGCGCTTTTAAAATAAGTTATGTAATAAAGTTCGTATGTTTGCATAAAATATATGAAGAATGTATAAATGTATAAATGTATAAGAGAAATGCGATACTTTATGATGTAATTAAATATACAGTGTGTACAAAACTAGTCAATCTACATATGTGTTAATAAGACGAATATCGTATCATTTAAAAAGAAAATGAAGAAAATAAGAATAACGTTAATTCTATCTTTCTTTCTCCCATTTCTTTCTTTCAAGTCACAATTGCATATTAACGAGTAGATTGAAAATTAAAGTTAAAGAAAATTAATTAAAGATAATTAATTTTTCAAAAGGAATTATATTTTCTGTAATTATATCTTACTTATTAATAAATAATTGTTTCGTTTTCTTTCAAATTAATTTTTCTCAAGAACTTACAGATTAATTATGCGATGATATATGAATGTAGTACGTATTAATTAAAAAGAATCGTATTATAAAATTAACACATTCTCTGCTATAGAGAAGACTAAAGTATTCAAGTTTCTTTTAGATCCGTGAAAGCGAGAGAAATGAGATGTATCCGCCAGAATATAAACATATGTACATTGGTTAAGGTCGAGCCATTTATTGTGATAAAAACAGTGAAATGTATTAAATATTATACAATTGTAGGCATTCTGTACACGTGAATTTAAATTTATAAAAAAATTAATTAAATTTATAAATTTATATAAAAGAACGAAATATGTTGAAAGAATTCGATATCTGCAATATGATTTGTGTGCTTAAAATATTATCAAGATACATAATTTATATTTCAATATAAACATGTCGCATATCTAAATTATAATATAAGAATCGATTTAGAAATTGGTAAAAGATTCAAGCCCGGTTGTCACCCCCACGTATTTGCGAGACCTAAAATCTCGCAATTTCTGAGGAAACTTCAAAATCTCTGGACTCAAAACTCACATAAGACTCAGATTCTATCGAAAGAAAGGAATATATGAAATTAATTAAGAGGAAAATATATGTATAAGCAGTGCTGTACAGTGCTTAATTTAAAACTTAAAAACAATGTAAGAAAGATCTTTGTACAACTTAATCAAATAGACTTTATAGACTGGAATAAGGATAGATTTTATAGGATAGACTCTGTAAGATATTTTAAATATTACAATTTTTCAATTTAAATTTTGTATAATTTCATTTGTTTGTTGTATAAATTTTATATAAAATAGAAAAATTCTTTTGCGTGCGAGAAAAATGATCGAAAGTAAGATTAGGAAAAATTTGTATAAATTGCAAATACAATCTATTGTTTTATTTAAATGCAATTTATTGTTATTTATTGTCTTTCATGTAATGTTAATCGCATAATATTCTAAACATAAAAGTTGTTATAATTCTTTAATTAACTTCTGTATGTATATATAATAATATTAGATGTACATATAATCCATCGGTTATGTCATATTCACGATATTGTAATATATTAACATACATTGCAAATTTCAGCTTTGTTTTTGCTTTAATTATATGTTGATTTAATTATTATCAAATAATAAGTGCCTATATGGATTGACTACATCAGAAAAATAAAAAATTTTTGATAAAAATGATAAAATTTTTTTTGTGCAAAATATATTACGATGAAAATATTTTTCGATAATATTTACAATCTCGATGGAACAGATCTGTAAAATATATTAAAGGCTCTCTTTTTGCTTCGATAATCAATAAATAACTGTATATCTAGAAAAAACTATGTATCTTTAATTAAGAATAAAATTATATTCTAAATGTATGTTATAACATTATGGATTAAATAGTTAACGATTGAGACAAATGGATTTTGTATTGTTGTGAAGAAAAGTTTTATTTTCCGCGTACCTTGATTAGAAGATATTATTTTTACAAAATAAATTTTTATCTCTTATCTAAATTTAGAAAGGATCTAGAAAAGAATTTAGAAAGAATTTGACGTAAGATGTGTTGAAACATAAAATTTATACACTGCGCGCGCGCGCGTGTGTATGTGTGTGTGTGTGTGTGTGTGTATGTGTGTGTTTTGGCCATTGAAAATTTGATGTTTATTAATTAATCGAACGGCTAATAATAGGCATTAATGATATATGACTTTATCTCGTTGCTATGCCAAATACATGCTGTCTGGAGAGAGTTAAGTAAAGCGGATGCGAAACATATCCGTCCAGATCTAAGAATGTCCATGATATTTTCTTGAAACCAGCATTTTTTATATCTGTAACGCAGTTAATATCCAAGCGACAATCTCCAAATAAAGAGGGCCATATGCCAGTTTGCGTCAACACTATTTGTAACCATCGTACGAAAGTGCTTTCCTTCTCTGGGACATGTTCCACAAAAATATATTTTCCACCCTAAAAAATTGTAACAAAAATGGAAAAATGCATATACATTATTTTATTATCTATTTATCTACATCGTTTTATTATCTATTTTATTTATATTTTATAAGTCTTGAGACCACAGGGAAAAAAAGCAATTATGCAAAAGTATTTAATAATTGGTTTAATCCGTAGAAAGTTGATATATTGTTTTATTTCGTGTACAAATTTCTAAAATTGTAATAAAAAATTGTAATAATTGGCGCGGAACGTCTCGTTATCTTTAATATTGTTCAAGTTATCAATTCGAATTTAATTAACACATTAATTTAATTTGAATGAATTTGATATCGGTATATTTGATGTTAATGAGCATGATAATCTATATTATAGATATTTTATAGAAAAAACATTTAATGATTCGTATTCCATACTCCGTGTAACAAACCGTGTAACAAATATTAATTTTAATGTCGTTACTTTGATGTCAATTAACATAAAATTGCTACTTGGCACGTAATTTTAATTGCGCTCCCGCACATAGAAATAGTGTAATGTTGCCGTTACGACAAAATACAAAAGAAATTTAGTATAATTCTATATCCGTATATTTTGTTCGCAAAGAATTTTGCAATATTCTTTCTTCCCTCTGAAAATAATTGCAGTTAATCGAAAGGTTATCTTATTTGACATTTTAATTACATCATTTGGAATAGGTTATACGAAATATAATTTTGATGTAAATTATAGCAACTTCAAGTTTTACGTTTAGAAATTCAAGGTCGATCTTACCGGAGTTAACACTCGTCGAATTTCCTGAAGGGTAGATTGTACTGATTTCACAGAACACAATGATCTAGTTGTTACAACCACGTCGACGCATCCCGTCAATACTTTTTTCATGGAGCTTCCGTCACCTATTATTAGCCGTTCGATAATTATATGAGAAAATTGCCACGAACGATTTCCTTTGACTAGATATTCGCCTAATTTGGTATTCCAATCGACACCGATGAGGTGAGTACCTTCCGGATAAAATTGAATGTTTTCGCCTATGAAGAATATCACAAATCAGCATTTCTCAAGTAATATAATGTTAATGTTAATTCGTACACACACACACACACA